GGAGGGGGGTGGGGGGCATGTGGGCCAGAAACAAAATAAACCCTGTTTATTTCAGTCTCAATGTCTAAATGGACTAAATGATCTGAGTAAAATTTCTGGCATTTGAGAGGTGTCAGACATTCACAAACTGCACAACAACTCTTCAGGACGCAATTAAAAAAAACCCGCCAAACTCTAATGACATTAGTTCTCACCCTCCTCCATTGTTTTTGATAGCCAGACGCCATTCTTCTGGTACTTCGTCAATGCTCTTTAGAATAGTAAGAATCGACTTTGAAGCAAGATCAGATTTCTTTCCCTGGAAAACATATGTAAAGTTAGGATACATGTATATATTTTCCACTTTGAAACTATGTTTTTACCGATGCTCGCCAAGCCTTGAGTGCAGTATTCATCTTTTTAGTGTAGCCAGCGTGGTGGCCGAGGTGATGGACACGTAAAGTTGCTTGGTCTACAAACGGTTCAAGGCCATCGTAAGCATATGAAAGAGCTGGAAGGCTATACTCTTCCTTGAAACGTGCGATATCTTCGTAGGGAGCGTGATCCGCACAGTCGACCGCAAAAAACGTGGAACATATCAACAAAAAAGTTGTCCAAATGGCGTCCATTTTGATTTTCCGTTACATTTCATCGCGGGCGCAAGTCGAAGATAAATTTGAGAGCGAAGCCTGGCACTAGCTACAAATGGTTTACGTTATTTTTTGGTTTGACTGACAAAGAACATTAGAGTAGTACAAACATTAAATGGGTGCAATACTTTGCACTATTTAGAACTAAACAGCACTAATTACATAATTATATCTTATTAACAGAGCGGGAGGTCTGTACGGGATAATCTTGACGAGGTCGGAATGTACAGACCGAGCGCAGCGAGGTCTGTACCCGACCGAGGTCAAGATTATCCCGTACAGACCGACCAACTCGATTGATAAGAGTTTTATCATATGACCACTTTTCATTGAAAAGGACAAAATGTTTTCGCCGTAAGATTGATATGCGATCGGACCGGTTAATAGCGGAGAATCTAAACCAGTCCGCGATGCGATCTATCCAATCAAATTGCTCGATTTGCTAGTGTCCAGGCTCTACGATTCACGGTCATGTAATAATAGAAAGCAATAGAATTAGCATAATTTCACAGTATTTAGTACTATTTATTATATAGATATC